AATCTTATTTGTTGATTTTGTTGGTTTTCTTTATTGAAGGTGAGGGGCAATGAACTTCAAGACTAAGAGCCTCACACAGTGGAAAAGTATAAGCAAGCACCTCTGTTTGCTGACTCTTTGTCTCTGGGCAAAGCTCAAGCATACATGTGTAGAAAAAGTCAGAGCTGGAAGTATTAGACTGCAGTCCATCAGTCTGCAGGTTTGCAGGGTCAAAGCTGGAGAGATGCTCGCATGGGAGTCTCATCAGGCTCTCGTGCAGGGCACTTCTAGTCAGCTCTGACGTTCTCATGCCGACACTGATATTGGATGGCTTGGGCCTATAAGGGAGATATGAGAATGGAACTTAAAAATTATATTCCCACTTCTGATCTAGGGCTGCTATTGAAGGAAGCAGCCAAGAGTTGATATGAATTCCCTGTTTTATTAAGAACAGAAAGACTCTGAGTTTGAACTTTTAACTTATCATTTTTATTTATATAAAGATTTAAAATTTGTGAAAGTTAAAATTCATCACAAAATGGATTTAGTTTATTATATCATTCAATTTTAAGTTATCAAATTGATTAAGGTTTAAATATCAGGAAAAAAGTAATTAATGATAATTTGCTTCTCCTTCAAGAAAGTATCCCTGATTTTCAATTCTGAATTAAGCTATTCCATTAGAATGTAATATTTAACCCAATTATATGTCTAAAACCTTGGATTTGTATTGCCTACTTTTTAATCTTTCAATCTCAATATTCCTTTAGGGCAGTGCTTAAACTTTATGTAACTCTGTACACCACGGGCTGAGAACAAAGCCAGGCATGCAGAATCACACTGCATTTGTTTGCATGTGTGTAATAAATGGTTAACTTAAATCATGACCAGAGACTTGCAGGGAAATAAGCATAGAACAGGAATGGTATATATTTGGGTATTTTAGAAATTATTACAATGTATTATTGTGATGAAGAGGAGTGACTGATCTTATGACTTGTATCAGTTCCTGTCCCTGTCAATTATTTAAAAATTATTTGTTTAGCATCCATAGAATTAATCTCTCTTCTAGTTTCTTAATTGATAAGAAGGTTATAAGGATGATACCTACTTGTTAAATATGTGCTAACTTATAAAAACACCTCATTATAGATGGACTTTTCCAAAAACACCAACCTGTAATCTTCACAAATGTCAATGCCACATAAAAAGAAAGCTGAAGCATTTTTCTAAATTTAAAGAGACTAAAGACACATGAAAACAAAATGTAATTCATGTTAATTCCTTAGATCCAGAGTTTTGACAATTATAAAGGACAATTTAAAGACAATTTAAAAAATTATAATATTGGTAATATATTACCTAATGAGTAATATTCAATACAATGAATATTGTATTGGCAGACTGCTGCCTTAACATTCCCCTCAGTTTAAGTAAAGTTTAGATAGGTTTCTTTCTACCTGTGGTGCTCTGACCTCCCATTGCTCCCAGCTCTTAAAGAACCCAGATGGCTACACGAATAAGTCCCCTGTCCCTTTTCATAGAGCATTTACTTTAGGAAACTGATAATTGAAAATTATTTCTTTGCCTCTTTGAGATGGAAATATATTTTTTTGATACAGAGTCTCGCTTTGTTGCCCAGGCTAGAGTGAGTGCCGTGGCGTCAGCCTAGCTCACAGCAACCTCAAACCCCTGGGCTCAAGCAATCCTCCTGCCTCAGCCTCCCGAGTAGCTGGGACTACAGGTATGCACCACCATGCCTGGCTAATTTTTCTATATATATATTTTAGTTGACCAATTAATTTCTTTCTATTTATAGCAGAGACGGGGTATCGCTCTTGCTCAGGCTGGTTTCGAACTCCTGACCTCGAGCAATCTGCCCGCCCTGGCCTTCCAGAGTGCTAGGATTACAGGCGTGAGCCACCACACCTGGCCGAGATGGAAATATTTTTTAAAAATCTAGATAGTTTTACAAACCAAGACTGTCTTTTTTAAGGACCTTGGAACTAACTTTTTGAAATGTAATCATCAAGGCAGATAGTGTCTCTGTCTCCCAGTCTTTGGGTTTTGTCGTGTTTTGTTTCTATCTCCCAGCCTTTGTAAGAAAGTAGGAACCTAACCCTGAGGGCATGTCTTACTCCAAGTTGTAAAACTACCTCCTGTCATGAATATAGAAGTTGACATTTACTTTGGGAAGGCCAATTAGCAAACACTGCAAACATACCCCAGTATTTAAAAGCCCTCCTGTTACTTGTTTTGGTTGAGTTGAATTCAAAGTGTGTTCTGATCTTGCTCCAGGATTGCAAGAGAAGCTTGAGTAAAAAAAAATTTTTTTTTTGAGACAGAGTCTCACTTTGTCGTCCAAGCTAGAGCGAGTGCCATGGTGTCAGCCTAGCTCGCAGCAACCTCAAACTCCTGGGCTCAAGCGATCCTACTGCCTCAGCCTCCTGAGTAGCTGGGACTACAGGCATGTGCCACCATGCCCGGCTAATTTATATATATATATATCAGTTGGCCAATTAATTTCTTTCTATTTATAGTAGAGACAGGTTCTTGCTCTTGCTCAGGCTGGTTTTGAACTCCTGACCTCGAGCAATCCTCCCGCCTCGGCCTCCCAGAGAGCTAGGATTACAGGCGTGAGCCACTGCGCCCGGCCATGTATAAAATTTTTCTTATGTGTTTATCCTGTCTGGTGAAGTTTCTGCTTTGGCGGTATAGATGGTAAATTCTCTGAGTTTGGCAAATGTATTATGACTAAGTAGGGCAATGATATACTTAAGCAAGGGTAGAGCAAGATGGCCAAAGAGAACCCTCCAGTTATTGTCACCGCATAGGACCATCAAATTGAACAACTATCCTCACATAAAAGCACCTTTATAGGAACAAAAAATCAGGTGGTGATCACAGTACCTGTAACACCAAGGAAAGAGGCACTGAAGAGGGAGGGAAGACAGGCTTGCATTGACTACACCCCTTCCACAGCCTTCAGCAGAACAGCACAGGAGACAATCTGTGTCCTGGAAGAGGAAGAGTGAAGACGGTGTGGGACTTCGCACTGAAACTCAGTGCTGTCTGTCACAGTGAAGCACCACACAGAGTGGAATTCTGCCAGCATCCATGGAGGAAGCATTTAGACCAGCCCTAGGCCAGAGCCACAGTGGGAGGAAACCGAGTCCCAGATGGCTGTACCTCTGTCTGACCACATTGCCCGGGTCCTGTAATAAATCCGAGAGGCAGTTAGGTGACAAGGACTGCAGTCCTGTTTCACTCCCTGGTGCCTCACTGATCCTGAGGCAGTGGAAGTGGGGCACGTGCAACACCGGCCATGGAAGCGCCTGCACGCACCACCCCTTCCCCAACCCCAGGAGAGACTTTCCTGCCTGGGAAAAGCAGAGGGAGTAGTACAGAAAACCATGGCCGTAACTCACCCGCACTCAGCCACGGGAAAAGGAAACAACAGGCAGAATCCTGAAGGTATCACTTCCAGGTCTTTGCTCTACTGGACAGTGTTTCCACATCCGCCCTAAGCCAGGAGGGAATCTCTGCCCTGGTGGGACAGACCTAGTCCCAGCAGGATTCACTGCTGGCTGCCTGAAGTTCAGCAGTCTCCAGGCAGTTCTCGTCACAGGCCTTTGGTGAGACCCAGTGCTGTGATGGCTTCAGGTGCAACCCACGCGGTGCCAACTGTGGTGGCTATAGAAACCCTTGTGTCACCCCTCCTTTAATTCTAGGCTACCCAGTGAGGAGAGAGACTCCTTCTGATGGGGGCAAAGAGACACAGACTTTGCCTGGTAACCCAGGAAATTCCCCCTTACCTTACCCAAGCCAACTAAAGCACTGTGCCTTGGAGTTGTCAAGAGCACAGCACTGCTGGGCTTATGGTGTCCTCTAGTGTTGATTCAGATGCAGTGGCCAAAAGCTGAGTTCACAGCCCTCAATCCTCTTTGAATACATGGAAAGCCTTCTCTAGAAAGATGAGCATAAGCAAGCCCAGACTGCAAAGATTGGAATAAATATCAAACTCTTCAATGCCCAGACATTGATGAATGCCCATAAGCATTAAGAGTATCCAGAAAAACATGATCTCATCACACGGAATAAATTTTTAAATAAAAAATTTAAAATTTTATCAGAGAAATTTAAAAAAGATATCAAAATAATAAAATTAAGCAGAAATTCTCGAGATGAAAAATTCAATTGATTAAATAAAAGCATCAGAGGATCTCAGCAGCATAAATGATCAAGTAGAAGAATGAACGAGTGAGCTCAAACACAAGTTATATGAAAATACACAGGGGAGAAAAAAGAATGAAGCACACCTACAAGAACTAGAAAAATGGCTCAAAGGGAACAACCTAAGTTATTAACCTCAAGGAGGATGTAGAGGGACAGATAAAGATAGAAAGTTTATTTAAAGAAATAATAACAGAGAACTTTCCAAACCAAAGAAGGATGTGAATATCAAGGCATGAAGTCATAAAACATTAAGCAGATTCTGCTTAATTTTGTTATTATTTTGATATCTTTTTAAAATTTCTCTGATAAAATTTTAAATTTTTTATTTGTGTTATCTTGGTGTTTGTTGAACTTCCTAATGATAGCTATTTTGAATTCCCTGTCTGAAACATCACATATCTTCATCATTCCTAGATTGGTCGCTGGTGACGAATTTATTCCGTGTGATGAGATCACGTTTTTCTGGATACTCTTAATGCTTATGGGCATTCATCAATGTCTGGGCATTGAAGAGTTTGATATTTATTCCAATCTTTACGGTCTGGGCTTGCTTATGCTCATCTTTCTAGAGAAGGCTTTCCATGTATTCAAAGAGGATTGAGGGCTGTGAACTCAGCTTTTGGCCACTGCATCTGAATCAACACTAGAGGACACCATAAGCCCAGCAGTGCTGTGCTCTTGACAACTCCAAGGCACAGTGCTTTAGTTGGCTTGGGTAAGGTAAGGGGGAATTGAGACTGTCTCAAGGCAGATAGTAACCAAACTCCCACAGGCTAAGAGTGAATAAAGGAATCTAAGAGCAGCAAGAGAAAGGAAGCAAATAACATATAAAGGAACTCCAGGAGTGATGGCTGCTCAGGTCTGGGGGATCAGGGGAAGTGTTGGAGCACAGGGAGATTCTGCCAGCCTATTGGCAGTGGCGGAGACTCAAGGGTGGGGTCTTGGGGCCCAGGCACAGCCCTAGAGTCTTAGGGGGGTTGCAGGCCCAGCAGGGGGCCGAGCCTCAGGCTGGGGCCCAGTGAGAGCTTCAAAGCTGGATCTGGAGATTACAGAGGCAGAGCTACACCGCTGGAGGGCTGTTCTGCGGCGTGGAGACTGTTGATGCCCACTTCCTTATGGTGAGCAGGGTTTTGTGTCAGTGGCCCAGGGACGTCATAAGCGGGCCAGAGCTGCTGGTCAGACAAGGTTCTCTGCCACACCTAGGACCCACTGAGGCAGTCACCCAAGGCTTCCCAGGTGGATCCTGCGTTGTCTGAGGCCTCCTCTGCTCAGATCCCATGCAGGGAGGAGGCAGGCTTGGCCCCCAGTCACAGGGCGCAGCACCAGGGAGCACCTGTTCCGTCTGCTCCCTCCCCAGCCTGGCAGGTGTGACGTGAAGGCTACTGCTGGAAGGCTGAGTCCCAAGTGCACCTGGCGCCAGGCACCAGAGCAGTCGGAATGGCACTGGCTGCAGCAGCCCAGGATCAGCCGCCACCAGAGCTTTGCCGCACGTCTCTCCAGCGCGGCGTCCCTGCAGACTCCAGCAGCTCCCGCTCAGCTCAGAGGTCTGCAGTGGAGGAGAGAGACCCCTCACGGCAACTTTTATTCCTCTCCTAAAAATTGGCGACCCCTTGGGCTGCTTCTATTCCATTGTCTTCCCCTCCCCAGCGGTGTGAATTATGTCGGGACCCCCAGCTTAATCTCTGAATTGGTGGGTGGTGCTTGAAGACCCCCCAGAGGACAGAGCCAAGAGCTACGCAGAACAACAGATTGGGTGCTATCGTTCTGGGTCCAGAATCAAGACCTCATCAAGGAACATTGCCACCCTTATGGTAGGTAGCAGTGCAACATCTGCTCAGTGGACTCTCAGAATTGCTGCGGACGAGTGGCTTCCGTGTGCCTCCTATTCTTTCACCCTCTGAATGGCAGTGCTTCAGTTGTCCTGTTTAAGTATGATAACTGGGCATATGAGGTGCAGATAACTTGTCTTTTTAATCCTCAGAGTTTGCTCTCAAGAGAATGAACATCTGGGTCTGATGTAGGGAATTCCATGTGACCATGGAATTACAGACTGATGCTGCACCTGAATGGAATCTTTAGGTTGTTTTCCTTGCGTAGGATTGCCAGACTTAGTAAATAAAATATATAGGATGCCTACATGAAACTGAATTTCAGATAAACAATGGTCAATTTTTTAAGGATAAGTATATCACACTGTGCAATATTTTGGACATACTTATCCTAAAAATTTATGCATTATTTATCCAAAATTCAAATTTTGCTGGGCAGCCTGCATGTAATCTGGCATCCCAATGCAAAAGTGTAGATGTATTTTGCTTACAAAGACAAGGAAGTGAATAACTCATGATAAAGAATTCTGGCAGATTGTACTATTTATGCAAAACTATTTGTTTCTCCTTGTGATGTATTTTCTGCCTGCTGGTCCTCCCTGTGAGGAGATGTTTTCCTGACCGTTGACTTCAGGGTTAGCCATATTTCTGGATTTGGTCAATTTGATGTGAGTGAAAATAATATTTGCTGTTTCCAGGGAAAAACGTTAAGTGCTTTCAACTGATTCTGACATTCCTCTTGTGCCTCTGCCATAATGCCCATTTGAAGGTTGTTCTTTCAGTCTAGTCCTGGAATAAAGAGATGGAGCAGAGCTGCACCTGCCCTTCAAAGGACATAAACACAAGCCAGAAATGAACCATTACTGTTGTAAGCCTATGGAGCACTGATTCCATTTTCTACTTCCTCTTCGAGCTTTTATTACTCCTGTTTTTCTGCCACCTAGAAATGAATGTACAGTTGTCAATATTTGGGCACATCAGAGGCATAAATCAGGTAAGGGAACCTAGATCAGCCCCAGCAAAGCCTAAATCTTGCCTGTTCTTCCTAATTATCTTGGCACAGAGTGATACCTGATATTGGGTCTCTCAGGAGACATTAAAACATTGAACTTCTAGAGAAGCTTATGGGACAGATTAGGGGTCCCAGTAAGGGTCAAAGCTTCTGTCCACACTTTACAGTTTATCTGTATGTGGTAGATGTTTCCAGGAAAGATCCCAGAGTCCTGGAAGGGATTATTAGAAGACAGGGCCCTCTAAACCATAGTACTAGGACACATATTCAGCAGTCATTTTCTGGGTCAGATTATCAGGCTTAAGCCTGTGTGTTAGGGCTGCAGAGCAGTGCATGGCTATAAAAGCCTCTGATCATGACAGATGAAGATCTAACTCAGGGAGAAGTCTCCTCTTTGACAGAACATTACACCTCTATGCCCTTCCTCACTGGAGGATCACTGACTGAATAATTGTTTGAAAATTGTGCATGGATCAGGTCTTCTTTCTTTTGAATTTCTTAAACAATGAAACAGAGAAAAAATTGTAAGCATATTCAAGTTGAGTAATAGTGTGAGCAACTTCAGTGTAAAATGCCATAGGAGTGAACTCTATGGCCCTGTCCACCCCAGAAACCTCAAAAATCCTGGTATAACCTATCAGAATTAACCTTATCAAAATGTTTTTTTGCCATACAGATTTATCTTTCATGGGAAATTTATTGTTATAGATTGTAAATAATAGATCAATTTCATTACTTTTGTACTAGGAGCATCAAATTCCCATATCCCAAGTATTAATGATGTCATCTTCACTGTAGTTTTTGTTGCTTATTAAATTTCTGCTAAATTTTTGTCTCTCACCTGCAAATTCATATGTGGAAACTTAATCCCCAGTGTGATAGTATTAGTTGTTGGGCTTTTGGAGGATGGGACTAAGTCAGGAGTACTCTGTCTTCATAAATAGAATCAATGTCCTTGTGAAGGGGGTTGAAGGATGCACCCTTGTCACTTCTGCCATGTGAGGACACAGCAAGAGGGCACCGTGAGAAACAGGCCCTCATCAGACACCAAATTTTCTGGTGCCTTGATCTTAAACTTTCCAGACTTTTGAACTGTTGTTTACACATTACCCAGTTTGATGAGGTTTTCTAACAGCAGCCCAAATGGACTAAGACACTTACTTATGCACTTTGTTCTATTTCTGAATTTTTAACTCCACTGATCTATCAGTTTTTTCATCAATTGGGATATCTCATAGGACTGGCCAATCTCATTCATTTCTTTTTCAAGTTTTCTTGGCTATTATTTGTGTTTTTACCCCTTTTTTCAATAACATTCCTACACCTAATACCTAGTGTTTTCTGTATTGGAAAAAGATTAAATTTATATAGCACCTTAAGAACAATTGATGTTGAAAATATTAAGTTTTTCTATCTAAGAACATGATGTGATTTTTCTTTTATGTCAAAATTCACATATTCTAGAAACTTCCCATCGTTTCTCTCATACACTGTACATATCTTTATTAGATTTATTCCTAGGTAATTTTATTTTTATTCTATTAAAAAGTAAACTGAAGCACAATAAAAGTTTAGAATTTGAGTAAAAGCAATTCATGAACGGGAGAGCCCCAGACTGAAAGAAGTTTAGTGTTTCTATGACAAAGTGTCAGAGGCAAGTATTTTTTTTTTTTTTTTTTGAGACAGAGTCTCACTCTGTTGCCTGGGCTAGAGTGCTGTGGTGTCAGCTTAGCTCACAGCAACGTCAAACTCCTGGGCTCAAGCAATCCTTCTGCCTCAGCCTCCCGAGTAGCTGGGACTACAGGCATGCGCCACCATGCCCGGCTAATTTTTTCTATATAATTTTAGTTGGCCAATTAATTTCTTTCTATTTATAGTAGAGATGGGTTCTCGCTCTTGCTCAGGCTGGTTTCAAACTCCTGATCTTGAGCAATCCTCTTGCCTCGGCCTCCCAGAGAGCTAGGATTACAGGTGTGAGCCACCGCACCCAGCCCAGAGGCAAGTATTTACTGGGAAAATGTAAGCAAAATAATTGGTTGCTATTACAAAATTGAATTTTTGTTTACTTTGCTGGAAAGTTCCTGTTTTTATGAGTTTGTTGACTACTTGTGATTGGTTGAGCTTAAGTTCTGTTTTTTCTTAACATTGGCCTTGAAAAGAAACAGCTTAAGTTTTTCTTATGTTTGCAAATCAAGCAAGGTTAAAGTCACTCATGAGACCTAACTGGTTTTGTCTGCCCAGAGATGTCTTAGGCCTGGTCTCTATTTTAATTTACTTTAATAACATTTTTGAAATTTCATCTCCCACTGCAACTGAAACTTGTAAATTATTTTTTCTATACATATAGACACTTGTACATACTTTGAAGGTATGTCCTGGTTCCAAGCTGATTTGTAGTAAATTATTTTGTCTTTTAAAAAAAAATTTGTATTTTTTCTTTTTTTCTCAAGAAACTGAAATCTATGTAGTATATTATTTTGAATTGGCCTCACTTACTGAAAGAATAAACTGCTATCCCCCAACTACAAGAACTGTGGGTTCTTGGGAGGTCACAGTGAAGATGAAGCAGAGGTGAAGAGAAAACCACTCTGTACCCCACCCTGTACCCCATTTATCCCCATGCAGCATGGGGATAAATGCATAATTATCTAAAATTTAAAATACTCAAAAACCATTGATGTTTTATCTCATTACTATGCAATATGGAAATTATAAGGCAGGGAACAAAGTAAACACCCAAATATTTTTTGTATAAAAGGTAAATACATTTATATTATGAAATATTACATGATCCTACTATGAAATGCAATAGAAAATATATTAAATAAAATATAACAGTATGTAAGAAATGACAATACCTACATTAGATTTAATATTCCACAATAAAATAAGATCAACTAAAACCCATAAAGTGCACAAAAGTTTTAAAAAGCAAATTATGTAAGCCAAGTGAAGAATAAATATGATCCATAACCATTTAATATACATTGTCTTAGATTTTATACAAAGAAAACAAAACATAATAAACAATGGCATGATAATTTCACCATGATTTCATTAAACTGAAAAAATGTAAACATTTCTCCATAGAGAAAGCTATTAAAGGTTAGTGGATATCAATCTTCCACTGACTTCGGCTGGGAGAGTGAAGATCTATATACTTTTCTGAATCAAAGGGGGAAGATATCAACATACATTCATTTTGCCATACTTTACATTATACAAACACATATGAATGATTATACCCTAATATTTTTCTAATTATAATTACATGACTCTCATAAAACATCTAAAAGACATGCAATGTCCAACATGAAATATAAAATTTTTCAGTAATCTCAGCCCTCAAGGAAACCCAGAGTTCACCATTCTGAGTATATTGTTCAAGTTCCTTTATTAGTACCACCCCAGTTCCTGTCATTTATTAACACTGTGTCCAAAATTGTTGCTGACAGTCATCTGGAAGAATCTTAGAAGTGGAAGGTCTTTGTTCTTTTCCCAGATCTGCATCCTCTGCTGAATAGGATCAAGGAGCCCCTAGCTCGAGCCTCATCTGATCCACTGACAGGCTTAGTTGTCTCCTGTCTAGGTAAATGGCGGACGTGTCTCCCTCCTAGGAGGAGCTGTGAGCTTCTCCATCCAGGGCTGGACCCCCAGGACCAGGCAGTGTGGCTGGAGTCAGCCAGTCCTCAGCAGGGAAGACATAGGCTGCCTGGGTGGCCATGGCATAGAAGGTCTGCACCATGGTGCACAGAGGCCCCTGGAGCTGGGTGAGCTCAGAGAGCTGCTCCCAGGTCAGTGGAGAATGTACCTGCTGTGCCCACACCTGGGCTAGGTCTTGATAAACGGCCTCAGACATAGCACGCAGGGAATCCACCAGACTTTTCCGAAGTGGTGGTGGGTGGTCTCTTGAGAAACGAGATCTGGGCCACTTGTTATGCTCAGTGTGGGCCTTCGGGTGTCCCCTGTGCTTGGCATTGTGAGTGTCCTCCATTTCATTGCTATGTACGGCAGCAGAGGTCTTTGGTTTCTTTCCCAAAGTCAAGCTGTGCTCATCTTCTAGACAGTTCCCTACCGAAGAAGCATGTGAGTGAGAGACTTGCCAGAACAGTTTTCATGGACACTCATTCTGGAACCTCCCCCTGCACCTTCAAATGAACCCCACTTGTCTCTCCTTTTTCCTGACACACCCATCCTTTATAATAAAGCTGAGGCCAGGCGCGGTGGCTCACGCCTGTAATCCTAGCACTCTGGGAGGCCGAGGCGGGAGGATCGCTCAAGGTCAGGAGTTTGAACTAGCCTGAGCAAGAGCAAGACCCTGTCTCTACTAAAAATAAAAAGAAATTAATTGGCCAACTAAAATTATATAGAAAAAATTAGCCGGGCATGGTGGCGCATGCCTGTAGTCCCAGCTACTCGGGAGGCTGAGGCAGGAGGATCGCTTGAGCCCAGGAGTTTGAGGTTGCTGTGAGCTAGGCTGACGCCACAGCACTCTAGCCCGGGCAGCAGAATGAGACTGTGTCTCAAAAATAATAATAATAATAATAATAAAGCTGAAAACCTCTTGATTCCCAAAAGCTTTCTGAATGCCAAGATCTCCAAAATCATCTCAGCCACTGAGAAAACCCCTTCCTGGCCAAACCCTATAGAAGTTACATGCTTGTCTGCCTTTGGGGGCAAATAAAGCAAATCCTACCTGCTCTGTCTTGGCAGCTGTCCTTGCAACTGATTTTCCTCTTCCTGGAGTTTCTTGCGCCTGAACTAGCCTCTGATTCTGTGAATAAAACGAAAGTTTGAATGAGTGCCTCCAGCCGAACACCTTAGAAGCCCTAGTCCATCCTGGACACACAGGAGCTGAGGTTGCCACCAAAACTTGGGTCTTCTCTGTTCTCCTAAGTCCAGGATCTTATAAGCCCTGGCTGCCAAAAAGCTCCCAGTTTCCTTCCCAGTGGAGACTGTGTTAATCCATATCCTGTCCCTCCTTACCTGGGAAGAGTCTAATTGTACCTGGTTTAGCAGTACCATTTCTGGCTTTGGGCTTAGTTTCATTGGAATTCTCGCCCTCATTTGGATTGGGCTCTGATTCTAGCGTAAAAGGGAGTTTAAGTGACTCATCTCTCCCTAGGCAGAGAGGCCCATAGTCTATCTCTGACACATATATGTGGGTCATTCTCATAACTGAGGCTGTTCAGCCAGTGTTATCAGTGAATAGGAAAAAATTCTGTTCCAGGGGATCCCTGCCACATTCTCAAAGCACCCTGATGGCTATAAGCCTTTTCTAATCCCCAACCTCAAAATGAAACCCTAGCAAACACACACTCAGTGTCCCGGACTGCACTCCTCCTTCTGGCCTCCATATGAACAGCCCAACACCTTACCTTGTCCCTGGGTTTTGTGGTTCTCACTGGAATGGGCAGCGAGTGCCTTGCCTACTTCTTCAAATGGTTTCTTCTCCTCATCTGAGTCTCTTTCTGGAAAGGAAATCTGTTTGAAAGGCGGTTGACCAGTTTGGCATTGGCTGGAGGGGCTTTGGGGTTCTTGGTCTTCAGTGCCCAATCCCATGTTGAAGTCCAAGTAAAAGGTCCTCACTCTTACACACGCAGATTGAGAGTGTGGGTTGATCCGCTCGACCTGCCTTTTATAAGCCCCTTAGCTGGGCGTGGCTCACTCCTATTGGCTGAAGAGATCCCTCCCTCCCGTCATTCATGATCGCCTCACCAAGGAATGTTGCTGACTGTGGAAGCACGGGGACCTAGACACGGACAAGAAGAGAGTTCTGCAGATGTCAAAACACAAGACAGCAAAGCCAGGGCAAAGGGACAGGAGTGCAAGGGACTCATCCCATCTGATTTCTGGCCTAATTCCACCCACAAGTATTCAAGATCTTGCCAAGATTTCAAGATGCAAAATTAAACAGACCATATATTCACACACACACACACACACACACACACACACACACACACACACATATATATTGCACATGAAGGAAATGGAAATAAAATTATATACATATATGTTATAATTTTTCAAATGCTTGGAAATGAAAAATATAAAATTATAGTTTATTGTATTAGATACATATATATGTGATAAAATAAAAAAGGCAGAAAATTATAAACAGCAAATAAAGAGGAGGCAGAGTAAAGCTACCCCATGTACGCCCCAGCCCAGACCCTGTGTCTGGTCTGTATTGTGAATGGGGGAACATGGAAAAAAAAAGATAAACAGCAAATAAAATATTTCTTCCTATCTTGAAAGTGGAGGAGATGATTAGATCAAACGCAAGCACATTGGGCTGATGGATTAGGGTGGGTGCTAACCTAATCAGTTACTGATTGCTAGGGCAGCAAAAAGTCTAGCTGGAGAGAGAAGTTTCCCCTCAGTCTTTCCCTCCCTCAGGCACCTGGAACAGCCCCACACTGTGTGCTGTCGAATTTATTCAGCACCCACAATCTGAACTGACAAATTCAGCTGGATCATTATCATCTGTGTACCCCTTGGTTATTTCTCCTCATGTCTCTGTTTAAAATGGGTTGTTAATGTGACTATTACATCATAAATTTTCAGACACCTAGTAGGCCACTTGTTTGTGTCCTGTTCTAGAAAATCAATACCCAAGTCCGTGCACATACACACAAAAAAACCTTCCCTAAAATTGCCCTTTCAGAGCTGCCTGTGATTGTTGCTGACTCACCGACCTCCCTACTCATTAACCCACAGAGGAAATGCAAGAATTGTCAGGTCTTAGGACATGTGGCTGGGACCAGGAGGTGTCCAGTGTAGTGCTGGGGTGGGACCCTATCCCATATCCCTTGGGATCAAATAAGAAAGAAACGGAGACCTAGAGCCAAGGAAGCCCTGCCAACTCCAGACTCCTTGGCAAGGGCCATAGCAAGACTGAGAGAACAATAGCAATGATAAGACATTATACTTGGCTCCATGAACAAACACAAAATGACAGCCCCATGTATGTTTTTCGTGTAGCTTTTCTATGCTTTGCATTCCTAAGCCAGTAGGGCTCAATGACCAAAACATTTTTTTTTTTTTTTTTTTTTGAGACAGAGTCTCACTTTGTTGCCCAGGCTAGCGTGAGTGCCGTGGGGTCAGCCTAGCTCACAGCAACCTCAAACTCCTGGGCCCAAGCAATCCTCCTGCCTCAGCCTCCCAAGTAGCTGGGACTACAGGCATGCGCCACCATGCCGGCTAATTTTTATATATATATTTTTAGTTGGTCAATTAATTTCTTTCTCTGTTTAGTAGAGACGGGGTCTTGCTCAGGCTGGTTTCGAACTCCTGACCTGGAGCAATCCGCCCACCTCGGCCTCCCAGAGTGCTAGGATTACAGGCGTGAGCCACCACACCCGGCCCCTAATCAATCCTTTTAACTTATAATTATCTCCAGAAATGGCAGACTCTTTGCAGGATAACAATGCCTACATTCACCATCCATCACCAACCCGTGACTTCTGTTCATTTCTTTTGTTTTAATATTTTGAAAAATTGTTCGTTTTAAAAAAATATTTGTATTTATTTTTTCTTCATGCTGCTGAGCCCGAATGCAGAGGAGGTAGCAGCAACCTGGGCAGAGAGAGGTGGTCGGGAGCCAGTGCTCCATTCACACCAACCCACCCTGGGCCACCAACCTATGATTTCTGAATAAGACTATTAGGTAGATAGTCTTGATCTCTGGCTCTTCTCAGGACAAAGTACTGAGGACAATCTCGGGACGATCTCAAGCAATTGCTCCACCTTTGGAAGAAGGATAAGGGTGGGCACTCCATTTTTGTGCTGCCCCACCCTTAATCCTATCCTGAGTAAGTGCTACATCTGGGGAAGGAGGGAACGCTGGGTCAATCTGGGAATTCCCCAGCCCAGGTATGATAGGATTTAGAAAGTGACCCGGAGTAGTAACCTAAAGGTAATTAATGTGCCATTAGCTTGAACCTGCATTGTGGCTCACCCCCGCCCCTAGGGGGGCTTTCAGAAAGGGAGCTTGTATATGCAGTTGGAAGTTTGAGGACACCTGTTGATCATCTGGTAATATCGCATGCCTCCCAAGAACTCTTCCTCCCCAGACTGGGCCAATAAAAGGAGACAATCCAAGATGTCAGGGTGAGAGAGAGTGGTTGAGTCTGTCTGTCTGTCTCTTTCCACTCATGGAGACAGAACCATTTTGTTCTACAGTAAAGAGCTGCTTATATAGAACTGTTTCCTGCCTGGGGTGACTCCATTGTATTGGCCCTCCTAGTGATCTTTCCAAGACAGTAATCTGGGCTTGACACTTTGGTGTGTCTGGTCATTCTTTGGCCAAGAGCACACCAAGAACTGAGGGCAGACTGACACCCTGACAAGCCCTCCTGCATTGGTTGCTTTCAGCACAACCTGTCCCAATAGATGTAGCCACCTTCTGGAACCCTAGCTCCAGAGGGTTTGGGAGATGGATTTGAGGCAGTTCTCCCGTCTCCTGGATGATATAATCTATAACAAATTCTCTTTCTTTTCTGGTAATCCTTGTTGTCTCAGTAATTGACTTTCTGTGTGGTAACTAGACCTAGGTCAGAACCCCTTTGTGGATTCAGTAATATTTGAAGGGTGAAAACTATCCTTAGACATTGGAATCCTTGGACATTGAAATTCCAGTTTCTCCTGCTTTACTCCGTGTCCACAGCCATCTCTAAGTGTGGATGGAGAAACTCAACAGAAATCTACAAAGATTTCTCCAGTGAACTCTGGAGTCCTCACTCAGGAGCTCATTCTGCTCCTGGAGGATCACTGTGGGCAGGTGTATGGGGATACCTTGAAACAGGAGATGGCAGGCAGAATAGCAATAGAGCCCAAATGAAAGTACATCTTGATTGTACATAGAGAAACCATGGGGGCTACCTGGAGTTGGGGGCTGGATCTGACATGAGGAAAGGAGAAGCCTTGGCTAAGTTTCAAGACCTTCAATACTTTCTCATAGAAAAACACAAGCAAGGACGGCGTCTTTGCTTCCTAAGCCTCAGATGAGGACAGGATGTTGAGACAGGTACAGGCACTTAACATAATTTGTTCTCCAGGCAAAAAAGGATGCAGAGGAAGATCGTACTGCAGAAGTTTTCCAGAAGACTTCAATTGAAGCATCAGCAAAACTTAAATGTAATGAGAGAATTTTGTGACTCTGGGGGTGTTTTTCCCCTAGTTCCCTGCTCAATTCCCTTGCCTGGGTTCCCTGATGTGCTTGACTTCTGTGCTGCTCAGAGGTGGGTATTATCTTAAAGCTTCTGAGACCAAAATGATTCCTTATGTATGTGTACTTTGTTTGCTATTATGTACATGTCCTCCAACCACATGCTAGTGTGGGCATTTCTCCACAGATATTCGAGTGTTCTTATCAGATGCCTTCCAGGAGGTAGAATTTTATATGTAAGAAATGCATCTTTTAGTTCTTGATACATATTTCTTAACTGTCCTTCAAAAGGTCATTGGTGCCGGGCGCGGTGGCTCACGCCTGTAATCCTAGCGCCCTGGGAGGCCGAGGCGGGCTGATTGCTCGAGGTCAGCAGTTTGAAAACAGCCAGTAGAGAGTGAGATCCCGTCTCTACTATAAATAGAAAGAAATTAATTGGCCAACTAATATATATAGAAAAAAATTAGCCGGGCATGGTGGCGCATGCCTGTAGTCCCAGCTACTCGGGAGGCTGAGGCAGGAGGATCGCTTGAGCCCAGGAGTTTGAGGTTGCTGTGAGCTAGGCTGACGCCACGGCACTCACTCTAGCCTGGACAACAGAGTGAGACTCTGTCTCAAAAAAAAAAAAAAGGTCATTGGCCATTTGTACTGTCCATGAGCATTATGAAATGCTGTGTTTCTACTAATTATAAAAAGAGTATTAGGAAGCATTTAATTTTCCAAATTAATAATCACACAAAACATATTTTTAATTTATTTTTGTTATAACTATTGTGACTGGATGCCTTTTTATGTGGGAAGTGGGAAATAATCATGTACATTTCTTTTACTGTAAATTTTTTAAAGGTCCTCTATTTTTTAAATTGAGTTTGTGTTTTTTACTCCTCATTGTCAGGGATTCCTAACATATTTTATTTAAGCGCCGTACCTCCCATATCCATTCCAGGAGGCTGATACCTGTCTACATATCCAAGAATAGGTCTGTTCTGGAGTTGTTCTCATAAGTCAGCAAGCTGTCAAGAAACCTGAGATGTGATCCATGCACTTGGCAGAGACTCCCATCAAGATAAGAGCTGGGCTCCCTCTCACCTCATGGACAGCTAAAGGGTGGAAGGTGGATTTATTGATTGGCCCTATGCTGCATCCAAGCACTTTGGCCAGGACTGGACACTCATCTCCAAGATGACAGTAAATAGGCCCGATGTTTGCTGTCATGATGTTCCCCAGCCTGCCACCTAGACACTTGTCCTCGCCACTTTAACCTCTTGTTCAAGGTTGTGCTGATGTGAATGTAACCCCAGCTTTCTGCCTGCCCAGTATGCGTGTGGCCAGGACTGCAAATTGAGCATTTTGGCACCAGGCAAGAGATCTTCCTAGGCTTACAACCAAAATTTCCTAAAGATACTGAGACTAGGCCCTTTCCAGACCCCACTGCCAAAGAGAATCAGAGATGAGATCTGGGAGTCATCCAGATCCTCCAGACCCCTCCCTAGTGAAAATGGACTTGGACCCAAACAGGTGACTCAAGTGACCATAAGAACACCAGCCCAGCTGCTAAGCATTGACCTCCTGCCTCCCAGACCTCACTTGAGTCCCATCAAAACCTACCCTGCCCCCAACCTCCACCATTCAGACCAGTTCCAGAACAGCCCCTCAGAATTGTCTTCAGGAGGTGGGATAAGGGGTGGTGGGTCTCCTGGCTCAGAACAGCTGCCTCATCCCTCCCTCCGGAGAAGTCTGTGCCTGCTGCTCAAAGCCCTCACACCTCAGGGGGCTCAGCCCATGTCCCACTGAATGTCCCCTAAGAGGACATTCTGGTCTCCTCCTCTGAGAAAGAGAGTGCCCAGGAATGAGACCCTCCATGCTAGGAAACACACAGCCTCCACTCTCCTACCACTTGCTTGGCTGATGAACTGATGCCCTGAGGAGGGAAAAGATGAAGGGAACAGCCTGTATCTGCTGAGTCTGTGTCCCCAGCCCTGGTGCCTGTGCAAATGGAACCTCCAAATAATATTCAAATTGAAGTTGAATTTAAATGGAAATTATTATAATGTCTTATAAATTGTGTTAGTTAATTTTATAAGAAAACTGAGTTGAATTTTGTAAAGTCATTAAAATGTAATTTTAATAGAAAGCTATAAAAATCATCTGCACTTGGGGTGTAAATGACTGAGTTTTGGGTAAAGGCCACCTATGTGTGTGAAAAGTTGTCTGACACATCTACTTCCAAATCTTTGCTGTTTTAAATCAGTGTCTTCTCATGATACTAGAATATTTTCATGGAAACCATAATAGAAAGTCTTTTATTAATTTTGCTAATTTTAGCTATTAAAACCATTATAAAATTTTCTATTTAGTTTATGTCATTGTTAACCTACTGCTGCTACAGATAGCATATTGATCCTATGTTTTGATTTGTCCTTTCACCTTAGGACAATTTTTCTTTATTTTATTCAGCAAATTTTATTTAAGTTAGATAACAGTGATCTTGTAGTTACCATGTGCTTTATAGATCTGTGCTTTGTTAGAAAAATAAATTCTCAGGCAAAACCCACACCTATTTTGTCAAAATCTGGATTTTAAATAATATTTTTAGGTGATTCACATACACATTAATGATTATTAAGTGGGGATAATTATATTATTAAATGGGAGAAATTTATATGGTTGTGATTTATTTAAAAAGTTCAGGTAAAGCCAGGTGCAATGGCTCATGCTTGTAATCCCAGTTCATGCCAGTAATCCCAACATATTAAGAGGACAAGGTGGGAGAATTGCTTGAGGCTAGGAGTTTGAGACCAGTTTGGACAACATAGCAAGACCCAGTCTCTACAAAAAAATTTTTAAAAATTATCCAAATGTGGTGGTGCATGCCTGTAGGCCCAGCTACTTGGGAGGCTGAGGTGAGAAGATCCCTTGAGGCCAGGGGTTTGAGGCTGCAGTGAGCTATGATCACACCACTGCACACCAGGCAGGGTGAAAGAGTGAGACCTCATCTCTTTTTAAAAAAAAAAAAAAACTTAGAAAAGATACAGTTAAGATTGTACCATTCAATGTATAATCATCTTATCTCATTAAAAACAATTTAAAAAATGAAGTTGGAGTGGAGATGGGTTTAAGTACAGATGAAACAAAAATGACACATCTCTGGTAGTTGCTCAAGTTGGATAACAAGTCTATTACACTATTGTCGTGGCCCAATTACAGGACGGGGGATGACATACACAGAACGTACACTTAAGACGCAGACAGACAGAATTGGCTGCAGCCCTGGAAGAAAAAAGGATACAGAGACAAGAGACGGTTTCGGACTGCATCTCTGGAAAAGTGCCCATCAATTTATTATATACGGTTTAATTGGGCAAGAGTCCCACAGCTATTTGCTCATGCCAGCTACTTTCCCAGCTACTTTTTGGTACGTGACTCCCCACGGCCAACAACACCTGCCTTTCCAGTCAAAGCAAAAAGCATGGCCGTCTACAAGAGATCTCTTTGATGTTTTGCACCACTTTCAGATAACAATCTCAGCTGGAGTGCGAGACTTTGAGTCCTTGGAGACCATGAGTCCCTGGCCATCTTGCAGGGCCTAGCACTGCGTGCTGGTTACCAGGCAACCTTGGCTCGCACGCGAGGCCACAGGTCTTGGCCGTTTGCCTGGAGAAACAGTTTCTTCAGCCGGTCACCAAGCCACGTCCTGCTAATCAGGGAACAAGCAATGGGCTCCTGTTCTGCTGACTTGGGGGCTCACTTCAGCTTCCTTCACTATTTTGTTTAGTTTTATGTGTTTTAAAATTTTCTGTAATAAAACACTTACATAAAAAGGCAAAATTTTTCTGCAATGTTAGCTCTTAAGATCTTCTTACCTTAGAGGAGGGAGAGAGAAAGTAGTTATTGGGAGAAGGAGAAGGAGAGAGGCTGGTTCTTTTTTTTTTTTTTTTTGCCAGTCAAATTTCACAGTGGAGGGTTGAATACCAACTTTAGTGACAGTAATGTTAATAAGTTCTGATAACCCACTATCATTGGACCAGCCTAAAGAGGCTGATTATATTGCTCAGTTAAGTTGTATATGCTTTTTTTTTAATTATTATTTTTTCACTTTTTTTTTTTTTTTTTTTTTGAGACAGAGTCTCACTCTGTTGCCCAGGCTAGAGTGAGTGCCGTGGCGTCAGCCTAGCTCACAGCAACCTCAAACTCCTGGGCTCAAGCAATCCTCCTGCCTCAGCCTCCCGAATAGCTGGGACTACAGGCTATAGGCATGCACCACTATGTCTGTCTAATTTTTTCTATATGTAATTTTAGTTATCCGGCTAATTTCTTTCCATTTTTGTGTGTGTGTGTGTGTGTGTGTGTGTGTAGAGTTGGGGTCTTGCTGTTGCTTAGGCTGGGCTTGAACTCCTGAGCTCAAAACGATCTGCCCACCTTGGCCTCCCAGAGTAACGTGTTTCCCCGAAAATAAGCTAGGGTCTTATATTTATTTTTCCTCAAGAAGAGACCCGAGGGCTTATTTTCAGGGGATGTGTTATTTTCCCCTCAAAGCCTCAGCTTGCAGCACGCACAGGGTGGCCGGGACCTGACAGGGGGAGCCGACCTTGTTGGTGGGGCTGCCTGCACCCTTCTGGTCACCTCTGGGATAGCAACTGTCACGATGGGGCAGATGAGAGGGGCTGATGGTCTTCTTTCCTGCTCCAGGAGGAAATGCAAGGGTTGTGCAGATAAGCTGCGTAGCCACGCCCATCACTAGGGCTTCTCTTGCGCAAATGCTTAGAAATCCTGCTAAGGTTTATTTTATGGGTAGGTCTTATTACGGTACTAGGATTACAGGCATGAGCCACTGTGCCCAGCAAAGTTGTATATGCTTTGTAATAATTCATCAAACTTTTCGTGAATGCTTTGTGCACATATTTTTGTATGCATATTATACATCAATTCAAAATGTAAATATTACATATTTGCACAAAAATCCTAACTTGATATTATAAAAATGGCAATGTTTTGTTTTGTTTTAAAGTGGGACACATTGCTCAGGGCATCATTAGATGGATATTAATACTAAAAGGTATTTATTCATGTCCTAACCCTTGGGTGTCCCCTAGGTCTTTTATTTTTTATGTCAAGGCAGTAAGTATCAAACTTTTGACTTGGGGGATGCAATTATCTTAGCAATGTCCTCTCCCAACAATGATGCTCATGAAGACTGGAGCACATAGCATAGTGCCAGCACAGAGTATGCACTCAGTAAACGAGGAGTTGTGTAGAATCAGGAACAAAATGAGTGGCAGAGGTTGGTCCTGCTAAGAATAGTCTGTATGTAATGCAGGTAAGACTAAAAGGCCACAACCCAGAAGCATTTTTACATTTATTTAGGAAACCATTTGTGAGAAGTTCACCAAAAGATGTTGGTTTAAAGAAGTGGTTTGGGGGCTTGGAGACACACTGTAATCACCTGGGGAGCTTTATTTTTATTTTTTGAGTCTCACTTTGAGTCTCACTTTGTTGCCCAGGCTAGAGTGAGTGCCATGGCACTAGCCCAGCTCACAGCAACCTCAAACTCCTGGACCCAAGCGATCCTTCTGCCTCAGCCTCCTGAGTAGCTGGGACTACAGGCGTGCGCCATCATGCCCAGCTAATTTTTTCTATATATTTTTAGTAGGCCAGTTAATTTCTTTCTATTTTAGTAGAGACAGGGTCTCACTCTTGCTCAGGCTGGTTTTGAACTCCTGACCTTGAGCGATCCTCCCGCTTTGCCCTCCCAGAGTGCTAGGATTACAGGCGTGAGCTACTGCATCCAGCCACTTGGGGAGCTTTACACCACACTGTTGCCCAAGTCCCACTCAGACATTCTGATTTAATTGATCTGTTACAACATTAGTTTGAGGGGTTTTAACCACCTTCCCCCTCAGTTTTTCTAATGTGCAGCCAGGGGTGAGAACCACTGGTCCAGGGTAAGGTGCATATTAGTTGTGTGAGATTGCCATGTGTGCTTCAGGTGTTGGCCCCATGGCAGATCCTGAGTTTGGGGTCTCGGAAAATAGTTTTGCCCTGTTAAAAAGCAAAGGATGAATTCAAGAGGTACTCAGCTATTTGGCCAAATTGCATCAGGAGAAAACATCTTCTTAGAAGACCAATCTTTGTGTCACTTGCTTTCAGAATAAGATGTTTTTACACATGGAGGTTTGATTTAGTATGTGATGAAAATCATAAATAACTTACAAATACAAAAAAGTATGAAAATAGTCCACATGCATATGCAGTGCATAAAACACATTTTAAATACCTCCTACGGTAATAAAAAAATATAATGTTGAGCTTTAATTTTCTAAACATCATGCTCAGCCATTACCTCAAATTATTCCCAGTCCTTCTGAGATACTTCAGAAGCATTCTATGAAGGGGATTATTTCCAGTAATGAAGAGTACTATTTAAATGAGAATCTAAAGCAATCCAGCTTGTAGTGCAGAGGAGTTATTCTCCAGAAACTTGAAGGCCTAGGGGAGCTTCATGAGTAGTATGGAGGTGCATGGGTTTTGGAGTCAGGCAAAGTGGATCCTGAGTCTCAGTCCAGATTCTTATTAGCTGAGGAGCTTTGACCAAGTTCCTTGACTTGGAACAGTTATATAAACCTCATCTGTAAGAAAATACATCATAATATTAATTGCAAAAATAGCAACAATTTTTTAATCCATTTCTCTATCCATGTCCTTGGCAATGTGCTTTTATAGCAGCTCTTATTGAGAGACAGAATCTGTTTCCCAAACCTTGGATCTGGCTGGCTAAAGATGCTCAGGCCAATAGAAAGCTGTGGATATGACAGTGTGCTAATTTTGGGCCTAGGTTCAATAGGTCTTGAATGTTTTTGCTTTTTCTTTCAGAACCTTGCCATTGGCACGAGAACTATCCCATTTTATCCTGCTGGAGGATAAAATACCATGGGGAGGAAACCCTAAGCCAGGGGTCCTCAAACTGTTTAAGCAGGGGGCCAGTTCGCTGTCTCTCAGACTGTTGGAGGGCCGGACTATAGTTCAAAAATCTATGAACAAATTTCTATGCACACTGCATGTATCTTATTTTGAAGTAAAAAAACAAAC